GAGGATCCCCAGACTTGCAGAAGGTTCTATTTCCCAAAGAGGATGGAAAGTCAGAGGGCTTGGGTTTCAATGAAGGCTCTGCAGTATCTCACTGTGGGATCTGTGTGAAGGAGAACTCTCTGACCCACAGTGTCCGCATTTGCAAAATGCAAAGGATAATACCCACCTTCCCAGGGTGGGGTCACTTAAGGATTTCAAGGCAAACGATGTATCAAGCATCTGACATGTAGAAAGCATGCAGTGTTAATTTACACTGCTTTCTATAGAAGCCAGGTATAATTATACCTCATCTACTTCTTTATTTCTCTTCCAGAAAGATCCCAGAGGAAAACTAAGAACTCCACTAATTAATGATCGTATTCCCATGTATTGTTTTTTTTTTGTGTGGGGATATTAGATCCGTTGTATCACAGCCTCCTCCCAATCAGAGGTGTTCTCGAATGCAGGGGGATGGTATTTTGGGTCAGCTCAGAGACTGGAGAAGGGGATGCTACTGGGGTGGGAGAGAGATAGCTCTCAAAATGTCAGAATAGTCACATGCAGTGAAGACTGGCCTGCGCAAATGCCAGTGGCATGAGAGATACTTCTCACGCGTCACTAAATTGAATCCGCATGAGAACATTAAGACATAGGCATTGGTACATCCTTGTGCCTATGGGGAAACTGGACCCAGGCTCAAGATAAGCACCTGTTAAGTGGCTGGAGGGTGATTTGGATTCCAGACACGGGCTCTGAAACTCAAACTTTTTGCTATAACCGAGTCTCTCGTAAATTTGCTACAGCAACATTGTCATTTTGCTTTGGGCTGTATTACTCTGTTTTCTTGTCTCTCCCAGGAATATCAGGAGTTCCTCTCTCAAAATGTTTGATGACCAAGCTTTCCATAAAGGTCAGAATTCCTACTTAAAGTTTAGAAGCAGCACATCATTGTACTTTTCTTTTATGGGGCTCGTTTCTCCTATCCCTGCTGCCAAAGCCAGAGGAGGGGGAGGGAGGGATGGGACAGGGGCAGGGAGGGAGAGAGAGAGAGGAGCAGAGTCACCCCTGCCTCCATTTCAGGCATAAGCCAGGTACTCACAGCCAAGCTCCCTGGGCTGGGGCCCCGGGTCTTCAGCACTGCATGGCTTCCTACCCGCAGGAAACGGTGTTTGAAAATCACAGCGGGCTGGTCAATATTTGCCGGTCAGTTCCTGGAACAGTGCAAAGCCTGTGCAACAAACAGGAAGGGACCTTTTTTTTTTTTTTTTTTTTTTTTTTGAAGGATCTGGCCTGCCTGTCAGTCCTACAAACAGAGTGAATTATGATTCTGGACCCAACTCCCTTTGAGGCTGTTTTAATACCGGTGAGGATGGCAAGGCTCACGATGTGGTTGCTGCTGACCCACCACTGACATTTTGTGTGTTCCCGACAGTGTGCTTTACGGCTCATCCTAAGGATGAGAATGTGAGATGCTAACTACTCCCGTGTGATCGTCCCTTCACAATGTGGGTAAACCAGACCATCATGCTGCACACTTGAACACATACAGTGATGTACCTAGGCTATTCTTCAATAAAATTGGACAGGAAAACAAAGGGAGAAAGACACAATCATCCCTACCCTTCAGATGGGATACTGATATTCTGGGAGGTTAAATTCCTTAGCTCGTGAAGTGGGTGGTGAGACTCCAATATTTTACTGATTCTTACCATTCCAATACTTTACTGATACTTAAATTCTTTTTTAGAAAGAGAGCATGCCTGGGGGGAGGGGCAGAGGAAAAGGGAGGGAGGGTGGGAGGGGGAGAGAGAGAGAGAGAGAGAGAGAATCCCAAGTGGGCTCCTTGGCCAGCACAGAGCCAGACACAGGGCTTGATCTCATGAACCATGAGATCACAACCTGAGCTGAAATCGAGAGTCGGGCGCTTAACCTACTGAGCCACCCAGGTGCCCCTTTACTGATCCTTTAAATAAATATTGTCCAAATATGGGAAAAGAAAAAGACAGAAGGAAATTAGAAAACAAAGCAACATCTTCTCTCCTGCTGTTTTGAATCCTCATAAAATGGACCACTGGCTCTTGCTCACCACGAATCACCCAAGATCTAGAACGAAGCCTGGAACTAAATGAATGTTTCACGTGAGTGAAATTTCGGTGTTGGAAAGTCACCTTGGCATGATGTCTGTGTTCTTCTTTGTAAATTTTTGTATTTACCTAATTTCTCACAAAGAGCTTGTATCTTATTTATACAAAAAACCCCACCCCATATAAAATTATATAATCATATGCATAAAGCAAAATAAAAGTGCGTCCAGGTTGGTACAGTGGCCTCAATCGACAGGTACTTTTAAAACACAAAGGCCCCATAGGAGACCGAATCTGCTTCGCCAGTGGGGCGATGTGATGGAAAGCCAATATGATTTTATGTGGGCAGGGTCTCAACTGTCCCTGGCCCACAGCAAGCAGAGGGCAAGAGAGAGGGAGAGCAAGAGAGAGGGAGAGCAAGAGAGAGGGAGAGCAAGAGAGAGGGAGAGCAAGAGAGAGGGAGAGCAAGAGAGAGGGAGAGCGAGTGAAAGAGAGACAGAGAAAGAGAGAAATTTTAAAGAACTTATTATGGAGGATATGGAGGATGGCAAGTTCAAAATCTGCATAATGGGCCCATCAGGCTGGAGACGAGGATGAGTCGATGTAGTTCAAGTACAAAGGCCATCTGCTGGTAGAATTCCCTTTTGCTTGGGGGAGGTCTGTTAGCAGACCTTCAACTGATTGGAGAAGGCCCACCCACATCATGGAGAGCATTCTGCTTTATCCAAAGTCCCCCAATTTAAACGTTAATCTCCTCCAAAAATACCTTCACAGAAATATCCGGAATAATATTTGACTACATATGTGGCCGCCCTGGTCCAGGCAAGTTGACACAAAATTAACCATGGAAAACGAGATTGAGCACCATCTCTGAGGGGATGCTCACCTCCCTTCCTGGAGTGAAAATCTTTGACCTTGGTGCATGGACACCTCACCTGTACATCCCATCTCAGAGTCAAAGAACACAAAAAAGTGTTGTGACACACTTTCAGGGATGTAAAATCATCTCATCTTCCCCTTTGCCTTGGAATCATACGAGTTCAATGCCACAGGCAGGAAAAAGCCTATCCTGACCTCCCATGAAGGCATCACGTGTTGTGGCACCAAGGTCTGTGAGGTGACACAGTGTCCTGTGACACTGGGACATCCAGGCTTTGCTGAGCCTGCAGAACTGACCTGGGTGTCTATTTCTTCTCAGTCCTGCCCCAGCCTTTTTCGTACACGTGCCAATATATATTTATTTTGCTTCACAGATCACCATTCACCCTCTTTTAGTGTGGGACACCAGAGCCGTACCCTCCTCCGTGCACACCCTTCGGCTTACGGGGCATCAGGGCTGAACAGCGTTCGTGAGTGCCCTTCAGCACGAAGGACACGACGCTCTCACTCTCCTCCATGGACACCATCTACCTTGTAGGACACCTGGCCCTCAGCCTCCTCTGTGAACACTCCCACCCCACCCCCCTGCGCTTTTGCCGTAGGATCTGCCTGGACATGAAACACACACAGGCGGAGATCTCCAGGCCTTCCTCCACCTGCTTATGCTGCCCACACCACTTCCTCCACATTTTCTAGAACAATCTACCTTACTGGTCTTCTCTCAGCTGAGCGTCTTGCCTGAGCTACTTCTCCAGGCCTCTCCTCTCATGGAGATCCTGTGCTAAGTGACACAGATGGCAAACTCTTTTCTTGGCCATTTGGACACACTTGTTAAATGAAGGGAAGTTCAAGCCCAAAAGTGACTCCTCTGGTAACAAATGGGGTTCGCTCAGGGTCACATTGTCCCCAGAAAGGAAAACGCTTGTGTCCTGTCCTAAACTGCACCATGGCTGGACTGGCAGTGAACTTTTTGGCTCTGGCCTCCCTCATCCCTCTCCTGGCTCTGAGATCTAATGGCCTGCCTCCAGGTGACCCCCACTTGGTCACATCATCGCATGGCTGCCCCTCGTGCTCCGTTCTTGGTACCCAATCTCATCCCTGGCTTTGCCTTTTCAACATGGCTGCCTGGCTCTTTACACCCATAGTTCTATTTCACCCTCTGACTTACTCTTCTCTGGGTTCCTAAACAGAACTAGCTCACCCAGGTGACGTCCAGCCTCTTGGATGTCATCCTGGGATCAATTTGTTTGCTCAGTGTCTTTGCCAGCGATGCCCATGGCCTCTGCGTCTGACCTCTGTTGTCAAATGACCTGCCACCGTCAGACCTCATGGTCATATGTCCAAGGCAAGTCATGGCCAGCCAGGTAGTATCCAAGTCCCAGCCTCCCCTACACGCACACACACACAGACACACACACACACACACACCCCATTCTGTGCATGGCCACCCTCCTGGCTCTTTTCACTTCATCCATTTCACTTATACTGTGGGGGCAATGAGGGCAATGGTAACTTTCTCATAAGGGATCTGGACAGAGAAAGTTCTGCCAACATATTTGGGGGCCTTGCCTTCCTAGGTTCCCTATGTCCCCTTGGAGCTGGGTGGACACACAGAGCCATGCTGAGGTGTTTGTGGATGCTGACCCCTCCTGTCTATGGTAAGACCCTGCCTCTGTGCCCCCAGCTTCCTGCCTGGGGCTGCCTGGCAGGGTAGATGAGGGGGCGGCTCTGAGTGCCAGCTGGGCAGGAAGCAACACCAATGAGACACCCACACACAGAAGAGGTCCTCTCACACCCAGCTCACAACCCTCAGGGACGCTTGCCTGCATATGTCCATATTTTCTTAGGACAGAAGATACACCTGTGAAATGTCCCTAGCATCCCTCCCCCCCGCCTCCTGTCCTGTTCTGGGACAGAAGCCAGCAAAGATGACCCATCCCAACTCCATTCTCAGACCACAGTTCTCCGACTCAGCTTCTTTGGATTCAATAGTAGTGAATTTTATCCACTTTATTCAGGAACAACTGGATTCCAGGCTCGCAGAGCCTGGCCCCGTCTCTACTCGGCTGTGGGGTTGAAGACTTTGCCCATGAGGAGAGCTCTTTGAGTCATCCAGTCCTCCACGAGCAGGAAGAAGGGTCTGTTGAATTTCACCACCAAGGGGGCTGCCGTATGTGTGTGAAGGGGGATGACGTTATCCGAGTTCACGTCCTTGAGGGCGTCCATCTTGCCCTCCTTGCTCACCTCCATCGTGGCTTCATGCATCGCCTGGGGAGAAGCAGGTCCCGTCTCAGCTCTGGGAGTGAGCTCGCTCAGCCGGCTGAAGCACAAGTCAGGGCGCATGCCCAGCCGGCCCAGTGCGGCCCGGGGCAAGGAGGCCAGCTCCCTCCACGGCTGACGGCAGGTGGGGGGAAGCTGGCTCCCATTCCTGAAGAACCACCCAAGGCTCTGGGCTGTCTGACCCGCCCTTGAGGGTGAGGTGCCTCAGGGAGGGGTTCACACTAACTGCTGACTTCGGTCTCCCCCAGTGTAGCCTGACAGTTGGAGGAGTTTGGTTGTTTACAAGGGAGGAAAGGGGGATTAGGACTCAGAGGGAAGTGCGGTGGTCTGAAGGCTTAGGCAAAAATCCTGTAGAATCACTGAGGGGGGAGCCTTTCTAAAGCTTCAGGAAGGATGTGGTGGAGAGAAAGGGAAGGGGCTAGTTTTTCCTGTCTGTGTCCGAGCACGGACAGTTTCCCCTCCGTGTGGGAGCACTTGTACCTGAGTACCCACGTCCGCCCCTCTGATCTACAGGAGGCCCTGCCGGGGATGTGGCCACATTGCTCCGATCTGTGGCATCCTTCAGACCTGGCCCCACACCCCCACGCGGGGGGGGGCTTGCCCAGCGGATTCTGGGTGAATTGAACACAGTAGGGAGAGCTTATACCCCTTGGGCCCTGGGAGAACTGCACCCCAGCCAGGTCCCGGCCGGGGGACCTCCACGCAGTGTCTTCTGTGAGTGACAGCTCGCTCATCTCTCAGTTAGAGCACAGACCCTGTCCCCTCCCCCAAGGTCACTGGGAGAATCAGGTCACTGGAAACGTGCTTTGCGGTCTGTCAAGAGCTGTACGATGGTGAGGATTGCGATCGCTACTTACGTTCTGGGCGATGTGTTACGGGGAGGCCCAGAGCAGCCGGCCAGGCAGTGACCTTGGTGGAGTAATTGGAGGGCAGCGTCTTGTGCCCACAAATGCAGCAGGGCGTCTGGAGATCTAACAGGTGCCTCAGGTTGGCAGAGCCGGTCCCTGCTTGATCATCCGCACCCTCTGCTCCTCCGTCTCTCCTACCACCAGCTGGAGCTGGAGCCTCTCTGACTCTTCCTTCCCTGTACCTGTCTGTCTTCAAAATGCACACAGAGCCTCCGCACCACGGCTAACACTCCCACCAAGGCCCCTTCAAGCTATGTTCACCCCTCCCCTGGGTTATCAGCCACGCTTCCTCCTCACTGCAGAGCGTAGTCTTTTAAAACTTCTTTTTAACATGTACTCATTTTTGAGAGACAGAGAGAGACAGAGCACGAGTAGGGGAGGAGCAGAGAGAGAGGGAGACACAGAATCCAAAGCAAGCTCCAGGCTCCGAGCTGTCAGCACAGAGCCTGACACGGGGCTCGAACTCACTGACTGCAAGATCATGACCTGAGCTGGAGCTGGATGCTCAATTGACTGAGCCCCCCTGAAGCCCCAAGCGTGGTCTTTTATAAAACACACATCAGCTCGTGGCAGCCTCGGTGGTCTCCCACGTCAGTCAGAGCAGACCCCAGGCCTGTGCTGGACCTGCGGACCCATGAGGCCCACCCTGCCTGATTTCCACACTCACCGCCCACTTCTCTGGGGCTCACGCACCATTTTAGCTGCGTGGGCCTCCTTGGGCTCCTCAGGGAAGTCAAGCCCACGTCTCCCTCAGGATGCACTCGTTCCTTTTGTCTGGGACATGCATCCCCTCGATGTCCCCTTCCCCTCTTCTTTCCTTCTTCAGGCCTCTGCCTGAGGCCTTTCCTGGCCAGCTCTCCCCAAGTCGCCCACCGCACCCCAACACACTGTTCACAGTAGCTTTGTTTCCTGCCTTCACAGAACATGTCACTGGTTGACGTGACACGGACCTATCTGCTGGCATGCTCACTGTCTGACCCTGTCAGGAGAGTGGAACGTCCATGAGGGTAAGACTGTGGCTGTCTTGCTCACCACTGCATCCCCACAGCCTCCAAAGATGGAGTTACTTGTGAAGGTCCAATTACTTGTGAAGGTCTGCATGACTGAAAAATCCCTAGAGCCAATGGACCAAGGCAGATAAGATTTATAACTGCTATTTTTTGAAATTTGTTATTCTTTTTTTAATGTTTATTTATTTTTGAGAGAGAGAGAGAGAGTGGGAGAAGGACAGACAGAGAGAGACAGAGATACAGAATCCAAAGTGGGCTCTAGGCTCTGAGCTGTCAGCACACAGCCCAATGTGGGGCTCGAACCCACAAGTCATGAGATCACAACCAGAGATGAAGTCAGACGCTCAACTGGCTGAGCCACCCAGGCACCCCTGAAAAATTGGTTTTCAATCAGAACTGCTGTGGGTAACACAGAAACTCTAGAAATTGCTCTCCTCACCTCAAAAATAGCTGGGAAATCCTCCTCTGTGATTCCGGAGAAGTCTGCTGCTGTAGTAAACACATTTCTGATGCCCATCTTGGGAAGCAGTTTTTTTAAGTCTATCTTGGAGGAGATCTTGAACTTGGGCATAATTAAGTGCACCAATCTGTTAAGAGTGAAAACCCCAAGGAAGCTGAAATATGTCTCTCTCCTAGGTCCAGGGGAAGAATTTTGCTTGGGCTTTAAGGCCTCTTTGAAGGGCAAGGAGAGAAAACGTGGAGCATGACTGTGTGTATGCTGAGGGATGGATGGTGCTAGAGCACAGGCTGCAACCAAACAAATCACTTGCCCTTAAAATATACCTTACTCTTCGAGCTATGTCCTCCCCATCACAGAGAAGAGGAGGGTCAGGCCAGAGGATCCAGCTCTGTGTCCCTGCAACCCTTCAGGTATAGGCAGGGGCTGAATTTGGCAGTGACCAGAAATATGGCATAGGAGATCTAGTGCACAGTGCTATCCTTCCCCTCTGCCCTTCGTGTTGCTCACAGAGCAATACATTTTAGCTTGTGCCAATGTGATGGTAAGCTTCCAACTGGATAGTAACGCAGTTATCAGTTGGGTTCCTCTATTGGTGTGCTCTCCCCTCCCCATCCCAACAACGACATTGCATCAAGTATGGCTGTGGCAGATGATGGCACATAGGCTCTGCCGGGGCCCTCAACCACAGCAGATTCGGCCTGGGAAATAGTCGAGGCTCCTACACGGCATGGGGCAAATGCTATTTGGACATTTCTTCCCAGTCTACACATTTACTGCCTGAAGACTGCCCCTGCTCCCACCAAGATCAGTGAGTGGGCCATCGGGAATCATGCTTTCATAATGGAATCTGTCTATCTCTGATTGGGCTGTGGTGGATATTGTACCTAAGCTGGATCAATCCAATTTTCCCTTCCGGGAATACGTAACTGGGACAGAAATATGTTGGTTTCACTCTCGAGTGGAGCATTTACTTGACTGGAAAAGAGCCATGGCTGCCCACAATGGTCTCAGCTTAAAATTTACCTCTTGGGATCCTTCCCTGATCATCATACTTAATTAAGATCTCCAGTTAATACCACACCACAGAATCCTCTCTTCTATCACTCTACTCATTCTCTGCATAGCTTTTACTGCAATTTGAATTTATACCTTTATTAGTTGACTCACTGCTTCTCCGACCAGACTGAAAATCCCACAATGACAGAGACATGTTTGGCTAGCCATTCTATTCCCAGTACCGAGTGGTGTCTGGCATGGAATGGATGCTCAGAAAATACGTGTTGGGTGAGTAAACCACCTGCTGAATTGGTGAAAGCTGGTTCGCAGAGCTAGAGAAGTTAGGAGCAAGGATGAGTGTGATATCAGGGAAATGGGATTCCTCATGATGTTGCTGTCCCTCCTCTAATCCCTCATGACACCCAGCTGAATTTATCCCCTTATGTGTATCTTTCCAATACATTCCTTTCTTTACCCCCTTGAGCTTGTATGAAATGGGTTTCTGATACATGCAGCCAGAGGAACCATAATTAAGACAGTTTAAGGGGCGTCCAGCTGGTTACGGAAGCCAGGCCACCATTCTTCCTGCTTCGCTTGTTTCATTTTCCACAAAGATGCTAGGAGATAAGCAGACATTCAGTTCCCCACAAATAAGACCTTTGCACAGAGGAAGTGAGATCTGAGCAAAATTTCAATGTGAATCTAGAATGTTCCTCCAGAGTAGCTTACCTCATGTCACTGGATTTCAGAAGTGTAGCTTTTTGAACAATCATGTCTTTTATAGCAGGGTCGGGCTTTCCTACATCTGGGAGCATAAGGACTATGGACATGTTTCCAATGTAAGGGATTTTGACCATTGTAGCAAACAGCTCCTCCGATCGGCTATAGATCATTTGTTCTGTCTTCCACATCATGTCTACCTGCACTGTGGTGTGCTCGTCCACAAAGAAGTTCTCCTTGTACATGAGGTGTGTATGAAAAGCCATTTCCCAAATACCTAGGGGAATCAGGAAGGAAAAAGTCAAAGAGTGACCTGTTGGAGAAGGCATCAACACCCACATGTTTGGAGGACCCCGGAGGTGATCATCTAGAGAAGGAAGCACTCCTTCCAGTGATGCCTTGACCTCAGTGAACAGAATATTTAAAATTCCAGATTGATGCAAAGGAAAGACAGGCAAACACATGAATTTTGAAAATATTCACCATAGGATTTCTTTAAATCTGTATTCCTCAGAAGATGTTTACCAAACATTACCTGCCTCTGGACCTATAGCACCAAGAAAGGATTTTGCTGTCAAAGAATTTGGGAACCATTGATCACAACATCCTTCTTTGAAAACTCTCCATGCCTTTTAGTGTATTAAGAGATCTAAGAAGTCCTATGACAAAGAAATCTGTTTGAAATGGTTTTACTTATCCAAGGAGGGACAATTTTCATCAGAAAAACATACACCTCATGCGTATGGTTGTCCACACACTCCTGCATACAGTATTTTTCTACCATCAAGAGTTACTCCATTTTACTCCAAAATATCTTAAGTATGACAAATGATATGACGGAGAGGGTTGGGAGCAGAAATGCTTAACAATGGTGGACAACACAATGAAATTAAAGCAAATTAAAAAGTTTTGGATCTGCTGGTCTATGGAAAATGGGGTAGAAGTACAAAAACTACATATTTTTCTGATTGAAATCTTTTAGGAAGCCCAAGGGCAGAGGTTACCCCCAAACAGAATTCATGCACTTGATAAACCTTACCTTTGAAGAAGACATAGTTAACAAGAAACAGAAAGGTGTGAGGGTTCAGAGAGGTGATGAATTCCTTGGTCCTCTTGTGCATTTTGTCAGCCACGAAGTGGTTGATTTGCTTCTTGGTTTTTTCTGCATCTCGAAAGTCAATCATGTGGGCCTTCACATCATATATGCCCTCTGTGTCCCACAGAAACATCGAGGTGATCTGCCTGTTGCCATCGATAAAGAGGATGTCCCTGTGCCTCAGATGTCCCTCCCTATTCAGCTGGCTCAGCATTTGGACGACACTCTGGAACCCCTGGTGGATGTCCCACACCCTGATGACTTTGAGGTCAAATCCAAGGCCCTTCAGGAGGTTAGTGAGTGTTGTGGATCGTGTCCCCAGGGAAACCATGGCCAATGAGGCAGAGATACTCAGAGGGGAGAAGACGATATTCTTTCTGGGATGCTCCATTAACAGAGCCTTGAATAACTTGTGGGCGAAAGCCTTATTGCCAGCTTCTATCTTGTAGTGCAGAGGTGAAACTTCCCGTGGTGAGACTGGGTAAATATTCCATTCTGATTTTTGTTTCATGTCACAGAAGAGGCCATTAAAAAGGCTACAGAGGATGAGGGCCAGAGAGAGAGCCAGGTGCATTTTCCTACAGGACATTTCTGCTTCAATCCAGGAAGCTGTCATTGGAAGGGAAAGGTATGGGGGTGAACATTCCCTGGAACGTGTTCTCAATGTGGAGGGGCTTGAAAACGGCCCATTATTACCTCAGGGCTGTTCCCCTGGCTGGGGTTACTATTAGTCCTTGACTGGAAGATGCTAACAAAGGCTAATGAGGAAAGGCTAAAGCGTTCTGGAACATGACTTTAGACACATTAAAGATCAGTGACCTGATGACGGGGATCCAATTCCGCCTCTGGCCTGTACTGTAGGTGGGTCTTTATGCAAGTCACTTTCCCATCCTGGCCCTAGAGCCTCTTGTCACTATGACTTAATAGGATTTTGAGAGCCACTCTGCACTGGGGTTTCTTTTTCTTTTTCTTTCTCCCTCCTTCCTTCCTTTCTTCCTCCCCTCCCCTCCCCTCCCCCTCCCCTTCCCTCCCCCTCCCCTCCCCCTCCCCTTCCCTCCCCCTCCCCTCCCCCTCCC